GTGGAGCATTTGTCTTAAGTCCTCCCTCATTCCGGCATGCCTTTGCTAAGAGGACCACTGGCTAATAATACACTGGCCAGGAGTTTGTGCAGAGGAGGACAGGGCCTCCCCGGGGCCAGGGAATAGTGGGCGTTTGACTAGGAAATGCTAAGCCTGGTTAATGATAAACTCACCTCTCTTGTTTTTATTCTCTTGACTGAACATCCAATCTCAAAGTCTTTAGCAACTATTAACTGGTTTTAAATTTATCATTGCTGTTATTAGGGATGCTTTTTGTATTTGGAAGGGATACCTGATGTCATCGACTTCTACTTAGAGTATGAGGAAGAAAACATTGCTTAACTGAAGTCCAACAACCTGGTTCTAGCCCTGCCTCTACCTTAACTCACTGCACAGTTATGCCCAGGTCACTGCTCCTCTCTAGGGCATGGTTTGACCATCTGTAATATAAACAGGAGGCCCAAAGATCAATGAGCTTCCTCCTAGCCCAACGGTTTATGAATCCATGGTTCTGAAGGGTGATTCGGGGAGAGATGCAAGTAGCAGTTGTGTACATATTCTTCTAGAAAGGGAGGAGAGACACACAACTAACACTGGCGAGGGGATGGACAGAGCAGCAAGCCAGGTGACACTTTCTTTGCTGAACTGGGAGAGAAGTTGAGTGGTGTCTCTGGTGGACAGCAGCTGCTTGGATGCCCCTTGCCTCACTTCTTTTGGTAAAAAAGTTTGACTTTCCTTTAGGAAACCACCCCTCCTCTACTCTCAGCCCAGAGGCTCCAGGTTTGGCCCATCAGAGTGAGGTATCTTCCCTGGCTACAGTTCAAGGATGGAATATACCCCAAGCCAGGCTAAAAAGAGCCTACTCTTGGATTTCCTGCTGGAGCTAGTGGAAAACAGGCTCCCTCTCTCTGCTAGGGTTGCTAAGTTGGTTGGATGTAAGCCTGGTACCTCTTTGTCACAACCTCAAGAGAGCCTATCCAAGACTAAGACTAAGACTAAAGCCAAGTCTAAGAACACAGAACCAGGATATAAGCAAGGCAAATCCCAGGTGATGTTGCATACCTGGATCCAGCAGGACCTGAAGCCTCTGGATTTCTCAGTTATCAGAATTAATCTTTTTGTTTGTTTGTTTTCTGTTTAATCTTTTGGTTTAAATCAACTTGAGCTGTGTTTATGTCGTTTACAACCAATGAACTCAGGTGCTAAGCACCCCGATCAGGAAGTATAGCCTAGACTCCCAAATGTGGCCTCACGTTACAGCTGGGAGGGACTCCAGATCAAAGGGTCCATGCCATTGCTGTTTCTCCCAGGCAGGTATGCTATCTGCCACGTGTGCTCTGCTCCTATACTAGACCACAGATGCTCACCTAGAATAGAAGGGCACCCTGAAAACAGAGCTAATCCAGGTCGTACAGGGAGCTGTCTGCCTCGTTTTCTATAACGGGGGGTTAATAGTACCTGCCTGTCCTAGGCAATAATCCTTCAAATGATGAGTTTCAGAGGGTGGCTTCCACTCAATCAGAGCAACTGACTCCCTGGCTTTGGGTGGGGACATGAGACTCCGGTCACTCCAACTTCAGTATCCCCTGCCCTGGCCTTAATGATTGGGTCAACAATGGTCACATGACCCAAGGCAGACCAATCCAAAAGCCACCCTGGGATTTTTTAACTTGAGCAGGCAGAGAAGAATCTCCCCCGTGCTGGGTGACATGCATGTAAGAATGAGTATCTGGTATTGCTGGGGGCCAGGAGAAGATCTGGTATGAAAGAATGAAGCTAACACCCTGGGATGAGCAGAGATTCAAGGCTGAGGGCCATGAGCCTGGCAGCTCTGGGGCCCTGGTTCCAGCTGGCGCCAGTTCTACCTTGCCTTCCAGTTTGTGAGCCAAGAAACAGTCCCTCCCTCTCTCCTCCCTTTAAAGCAAGTTTCAAATGGGTTTCTGTCCCTTTCAACCAAATGAACCTAAGATATACTGTTTTCTTCTACGCCAAGGGAAAAACAAAGATCCAAGGTCTGAGGTCCCTTCGTAACCACTGTCTACCACGGAAAGGGCTCTGGTATCAAGGCACAGAAGTGAATAAGCAAGAGCATCGGGCTTATTCCAATCTTGATTCCAATCCTCTCCAGCTTTATGAGCTTTTGCACAAGCAACAACCACTCTGAGCCTCAGTATCCTCACCTGCAAAAAGGGGATAATGATATTATTTTCCCCATAGGGTTGTAAAGGTGAAGTGAGTGCCTGGCATATAGTCCTTGCTCCATAACTAGTAGCTGTTACTATGACCCTTCTCCCTAAGCTTTTCTTCACTGTTCCACCGGAATCTCAGGTCAGAAGGGGACAAAATTGTTTCTAGGGGCCTGGATCTTGCTGCAAAGCCTGTGTGTAGCTTTTGGCTCTAGAAGGTTGGGAAGCTCTGGCCTCTGCTGGGGAAGTTTGGAGAAAGAAGAGCTCAGCCCTGGTTTTGGGCCAAAGGACAAGCTGCTCAGGACCACACAGTCATGGGAACAGTGGCCCAGCCAGGGGGAGGCTGGCTGTGTGGAAGCCCAACCCACAGCCAGGGCCTCAAAGAGCCAGATGTTCCCAGCAGGCAGAGAGACTTCCCACTTGCACAAAAGAACCATCATTTATCTATCTCATTCATTCAGCAAAAAGCAGTGTACCAGGCACTGGGCAGGGCTTTGCAGGTCTCAGGGTCAGTTAACCGACACCAGAATGAGTAAGACCCAGGCTTTGTCCTCAAACAGCTAAAAGTAACAGCTGCAATGTGTGGAGCTAAGTGATGAGCTTCATAGAGCTGGTCTCTCAGCCGCACACCCCCACTTCATTCCCCACGGTGACCTCTCTTCTGGACTGTGGCAGTCTGGTGGTCCCTGCGTCATCACCTGGGTGTGAGGCAGCCTCCTCACTGGTCCCTTTTTCCAAGCATCCTGGCTACAACCCTTCCTACCTACTATTGAAATCACAGCTGTCCCAAAGCTCCAATCAAATCCCTCCCTGCTCAAAAATCTTCAATAGCCCCTCATTGCCTGGGGACCAAATCCAGGTGCCTCAGCCTGGCATTTAAGACTCTTCAAGAGACAGCCCCACCACACTTGCAGTTTATCCTCCAATCCATCCTTTCCTTCAAATAGCTTACATGCCCATCGAACTGAACTATGCCCTGTACCTTAGACAGCCCAGAACTTTCTCACCTCCACGCCTTTGCCCAGGCATTTCTTCTTCCTGACTATCTCTGTGCCTCCAATTTTTTCCTGTCCTAAGGCTCCAATTCAAATGCCACTTCCTTAAGGGGGCATCCTCACTGTCCTTATTTTTTTAAATGTCTCCCTAAATGGACTCCCCAGACATTTTCCTTTGTGCCAGTTACACTTGAACCTGGCTGCCTGGGGAGGTCGAATCACAGAGTGTTGTATGTTTGCCTTGTAAAGTGTGAGAAGCCACTGCCGCTGTTTCTCTGTCTGGTGCACCTAAGAAGTCACCCTGGAGCAGGACTTCACTGCTTTTCCCTGAAACCTTGGTGGCCCCTACTTGGAAATGCAAATGTAAAGGGAGAAGCCCCTCCCCGCCTCTGCCCTCCAAGTATGGTGTTAGGGAACCTTTGGAGGGGCTGACAGAGGCCTACACAGAAGTGATCCTCTCCCTACACTGAAGTGATCTCAGAAAAACATGATGGACAAATTTGTCCTGAGAGGACAGGAACCTGGTCCCTCCCCATTTCCTCCTAGGGCTGACATTATTGGAACCCCTTGGATGGAGTGGATGTTTCCCAGAGAGTTGCTGGCGCAAACAGAGACCAAAGCTCCCAGAGGACCTCACCATGATTCAGGGTTGGGGGTGGGCTGGAGGTGTCTGGACTCATGAACTGGCTTGACACCCAGAAGTCCATGCCAAACCCATGGCTTGGGCTGGAAGCCTCTAGGCCCCAACACCCCCAAGCAGGGTGGGGAGGCTCTGGGAACAATGGCTGAGTAATGGCGAAAAGCAGAAATCTCTGGAACCTACGCGTGGGATCCTGCACGGCAGCCCCATGGTTACTGTGGTCCAGGATGTGCTGGAGTGGGCAGCACCAACTCCCATCTGTGCTGCTATGGTAACAGGGCAGAAACTGGGGCCCACGTCTCCGTCTCTCTCCACCTGGCATTTGGAAGTAGAACTTAAGCCTGGAGCAGCCGCAGGGTCCTGAGACAATGTGGGTGTGAGGCAGGCAGAGGAACTACCCTCGAGATCTTACTAAAGGAGGCACTTGGGTACTTGGACGGTCACCTGGGGAAAGAAGAAATATAACCGCAGTTCCACCCCGGAACAGTGAAGCAGTCACACCATCGCATACTCAGCACAGCCTGCCTTGTTTTAAATTACAGTTAGGGCTCTACCAGTACACAATAAAGTCTTTCAGCCTTTATCTCAATTTCCCCTATAATATTTTGCACTGCAGAAGGCACACAATACATTTTTGTTGGATGGAGGGAAGGAAAGAGGGAAAGAAGGAGGGAGGGACTGTAGGGCTAGGAGAGTCCAGAGGAGCGACTTAGAGCCTGCAGCTGGACTAATAAGGGCAGGCTTCCTGGCAGAGGTAACCTGAGAGGGGCCTTGAAGGAGGAGTACCCTGAGAGGATCTTTGGAGTGTAAGCGTTCTTGGAAACTGTCCTTTACAGTTCTAGGTCCCTGCAGCATGTCAGGGGCTAAGGTTATAGCAGGTGCTATCCCCATGTCCTCACCCTCTCTTCTTGTCCTCAGCCTCCCAGCAATTCTATGATTTGGGGATTAATTTTTTTTTGGAAAAGAATACAGATATATCTTACTTTTGCAAGTTTTACAAAATATACTGAAAACATACCCCCAGGTGAGTGCATTGCCGCGGCCCCTCTCACCCCGAGGCTTAAGCCTCATTAGCTTCCAGTAGCAGGGCTCTGCCTGCAGGAGCCCTCCCCCTCCGCCTGGGCTGGAGGGGGAGGGCAGAGGCTGTTAAAGGCTTTACGGGCCAAGAGTCAAGCTGACCTGAAATGCAAAGACATCCTTGACCAGAGCCTCCTCAGACAAGAAGCTGGACCTGTAGCTCAGGGAGATCTGAAAGGAGAAAACAAAAACCCAGAGTGAGGCCAAAAGGGAGGAAGGAGGAAACAGGACCCAGGGAACAAGGTTGCGGTGAACGGGAGGAGCCTTGCCTCTTCCGCGGGCCTTCCCTGCAGCCCAGGGGGAGAGAGGGACATGGAGGCTGCAGGACTAGTCCACCCAGGTCGTGGGCTTTACAGGGGCCGGGGCACCACGTGTGTCATTAAAGCCACACTCATGGGCGCCTGCTCCTTCCAAGCACGTCCTCCAGAAGAGACATCTTTTCAATAAATTGTAAAGAAATACTCAGAGATGAGAGTTGTTAGGACAAGAACAATAAAGAAGAGACAAAGGAGGAAGCAAACAGTGAGCTGCCTGGAGAAGGCTGTCAAAGGTGGTGCCCGCTGTGTCTGCTCACTCCCCTCCCCACCGATGGCACAGCTCCGTCCTGTCACTATCCTGGGCTCCTGGCCTTGGTGTTGCAATCTGGCTATGCTTCTACAAGAGACCTGTATTTAGGACCAGAACAAGCACTGTGACTGCAGGGCCAAGTCACTTCAGTTGTCCATGCCTCAGTGCTCTCATCTATAAAATGAGGGGTGTGCCCAGAGCAGCCACTGTCTTTTCCTGCACGACACCCATGCAGATACCCTTGGCGTGGCCAGCAGGTGTGCGCAGAGCCCAGATATGTGGGATCTCCCTGCCCCACCCCTCCTTCTCCCTGTAGAGAGCACATGGAAATTTGAGATGGTGAGAGAGGGGTGGGGCAGGATCAACCTTGTGTCCTTGATAATTTATATTTTAAAAAGTAAACCATGGGACTTCCCTGGTGGTCCAGTGGGTAAGATTCCACACTCCCAATGCAGAGGACCCGGGTTCGATCCCTGGTCGGGAAACTATATCCCACATGGCACACTAAGAGTTTGCATGCCGCAACTAAGAGTCTGCATGCTGCAACTAAGAAGTCTGCATGCCATAACTAAAGATGTTGCATGCTGCAACTAAGACCCTGCACAACCTAAATAAATAAATAAATAAAAGATAAATAAATAAGAAAAATACTTATAAAGAAAAAAGTAAATCATAATTGCCCAATGATGTGAAGTAACTTAATGACACTCAAAAATGGTTAAAATGAAAAAGAAAAGGTTAAAATGGCAAATTTTGTGTTATGTGTACTCATCACAATAAAAAAAATGGAATTAAAAAAGTATAACTTCAACAAAATGATTTTTTTTTTTTTTTTTTTTTTTGCGGTACACGGCCTCTCACTGCTGTGGCCTCTCCCGTTGTGGAGCACAGGCTCTGGACGCGCAGGCCCAGCGGCCATGGCTCACGGGCCCAGCCGCTCCGCGGCATGTGGGATCTTCCCGGACCGGGGCATGAACCCACGTCCCCTGCATCGGCAGGCGGACTCTCAACCACTGCGCCACCAGGGAAGCCCAAAATGGATATTATTTTTAAACACACATATACATATACAAAGTAAATCATTTGCAATTTTTAAAGCACTTTTGACTATTATAAGTTCCTTTTGTTATGACCACTGAGGGCCACATGCCTTGTGGGCTTTCCCACAAGGAACCTACCTGTTTTGAGATTCTCTTCCACATCAGATCTAGCCTCTGAAAGGACTGCTCTGTCTGGGCAGGTGGCACCAGGCCTGAGAGAAGTAGCAGCTGCAATGCTCAGCCCCCAGCTGCCCAGCTGGTCTGGGGCCCCATACACACCCACCATCCTGGTCACGGTCCCTCTCTATGTCCTCACAGCCCACCTCCCTCCAGCAAAGAGGCTTCTCCTCCATTCCCTGGAAACCCAACACACCCTGGGCAACTGCTCCCCATGTACACACCTGGATCTGGTGGCCCAGCCACTGAAATGCAATAAATCCTGGTTCTGTTCTGATGACGAAGAGTCCAAGTGCAAACTGTAGTCCAAGCCCCTGGGAGCCCGCCAGGATACCTGCCACCCGATAGAAAGGTCCTGGTGAGCTCAGCTCCTCGGGAGATCCACAGGGAACAGTTGGGTGAGGGCAGAGGGCACAGCACTGCTGAGGGGCTATGGGAGATTTGGCCAGTCTATAGGATGAGGGCTGGAGCCAGCCAGAGCTCTGGGCCAGTTGCCAATGGTTACATTCCCCATGGAGTTCAGAATAGGCCACACTTGGCAGCAATGCGCCTGGGAAGTGGGCAGGGATAGGGCAAGATCTAACTGAGGACCAGCCTGGAGTGTGCCATGGCACTTGGTCCTGGGTCATCACGGGGTAGGTGGAGCTGGAGTTGTGGCATCAGTGTCCGGCTTCCATGTAACTTTTGTCTGTCTGGATCCTCCCCCATCCCTCCAATATAATCAGGGCTCCCAGCCACTCTGACCCCACTCTCTCTCCCTCAATGCACTCTCCCCACCCCCAGCAGAAGGGAGCTGGACTCCTAAGGGCTGCTGCTACCTCTCAGCATTTAATGACTCCTTAGCAGTGATCCCTACAACCAGGCGTGCATCAGGATCTCTGGGAGGCTTGGCTGGAGTCTGGGGGAAGGTGTTAACCACCCTGTGAAATGGTGGTGGGGGGACCTGATATCAGAGAGAGAAGGGGCTGCAGCCCACTCTGGACCTGATAACTAAGCACTCACTGCGCGGTGATGCTTTGAGAAGGCAAAGAGGAGGCTGATGAACATGTAGATTCCTCCGAAGGACAGGCCGCTCAGGCCGCTGAGAGGTGTCCAGAACCAGCCATAGGATCAGGCCCAGGAAAGCAGCAAGGGCTAGAAAGGGCTCCCTGCAGGAGAGGGACAGAAAGTCATCACTGTCAGCATCTCCTCACCCCCACACAATAGCACTCAGGGCCCCAGAGAAAGGGTACTCAGGGCTGGTGGGGGGAGAGAGAGAACGCTGTGTAACCTCAGACAGGCCACATAGCCAATGAGTCTAGTTTCCTCATTGGGTAAACAAAGCCAAAGACACCCCATTTCTCAAGGTTGCCAAGAGGACTAAATCAGAGGATGTGTGTACTCAGCTTAGCGTGGTGCCAAGCACATGGCTCCATCAAGAGGCAGGAATTCTCAAAGCCGCAATGATGCTCAGCTCAGCCCAGCCTCTGACCTTGCCAGGGTGATCTGGGGCCTGTGTGGGCTAGAACTCAGCACCATGGACCATGGGCTCTGCTCCCCCAAAGCCCGGAAGCAGTAGTGTCAGTCTGGAATGCAGAGTTGAGCACCTGAGACCTAGGGCTGGATGCAACTTTTACAGCAACACCTCCCTCCCTAGGGCTGGGATTTGCTTGTCCAGGAGGCAGCCTGAAATGTTCAAGAGCCCAGGTCTGGGTACTGGGTGTTCAAGGTCTAGCCCCGACCCAGTCTTACACTCACTGGGTACTATAAACCACAAATGAGGTTCACTGAGCACCTATTATGTGCCAGGAACTATGCTGGGTGCTGAGAGACTTCCAGTAACTGTCCTCATCTTAGAGAAGAAGAAACGGAGGCCCAGGAAGTTAAATGACTTGCCCACAGCTGCCCATCTAGAAAGTAGCAAAGCTGAGATCTTAGTCCAGGCACTCTGGCAGCAAATCTATTCCCTTAACTAGTTCTGTACACGGTCACCAGCCGGTAAGAGGAGGACCCAGGACCTGAAATCCATCAGGCTAACCCCAGAGTTGACTGTTTATTTTTGGTGTGTTTCCCAAACTCTTATCATCCCAGTTCCATTGGCACGATTTCTGCCCTGTCTCTGTGCCACCTGTACTATTTTCCTTGAAGTTAACTCATTTTATAAAAACTGAAATGCATGTTTGGGGTTTTATTTTTCTTGGAAGGGGGTTGTTTTTAATAGCTTTATTAGAGATATGATTTTTTTAACTTTTTATTTTATATTGGTGTATAGCCAATTAACAATGTTGTGATAGTTTCAGGTGCACAGCAGAGCGACTCAGCCATATATATACATGTATCCTTTCTCCCCCAGACTCCCCTTCCATCCAGGCCGCCACATAACATTGAGCAGAGTTCCCTGTGCTATGCAGTAGGCCCTTGTTGGTTATCCTTTTTAAGTATAGCAGTGTGTACATGTCAATCCCAAACTCCCTAACTATCCCTTCCCTCCACCTTTCCCCACCTGGTATTAGAGGTATGATTGACACAATAAATAGAACATGTTGAAAGTGTATAATTTGATAGTTTCGACATACATATATACCATGAAACCATCACCAGTATCGCAGTGAGCGTATTATATCCATCACCCTCAAAAGCTTCTTCATACTCCTTTGTAATTCCTTCCCTCATCCCCAGGCAGCAGATGATCTGTTTTCTGTCACTAGATGAGTTTGCAGTTTCTAGGATTTCATAGGAATGGAATCATACAGTACATATTTATTTTTTGTCTGACTTCTTCCACTTGGTGTAATTATTTTATTTTGAGATTCATCCATGTTTTTGCATGCATTCACTTCTTTGTATTGCTGAGTAGTATTCCATTGTGTGGATATACGACAGTTGGCTTATACATTCACCTGTTGATGAACATTTAGGTTGTTTCCAGTTTGGGGCTATTGCGGATAAAGCTGCTATGAACATTCAAACATTCATGTGCAAGTCTTTATGTGGACGTACGCTTTCTTTTCTCTTGGGTAAATACTATAAGTGGAATGGGTGACTCATATGGTAGATCTAACTTTTTAGGAGACTGCCAAACTGTTTTCCAAAGTGATTGTACATTTTTTCATTCCCACCAGCAGTATGTAAACGTTCCAGTTCCTCCACATCTTTGCCAACATGGTTGGTATGCTTAATCATTTGAATTCTAGTCATTCTAGCAGACATATAGCAGTATCTCTTTGTGGTTTTAATTTGCATTTCCCTAATGACTAATGATGTTGAGCATTTTTCCATGTGTTTATTTGCCACTTATATATCTTTAACTAAACATCTGTTAAAATATTGAGCCCACCCTTAAACTGGGTTTTCTTATTATTGAGTTTTGAGAGTTCTTAATATATTCTGGATGCAAGTCCTTTGTCAGGTATATGACTTTCAAAGCTTTTCTCCTAATCATAGCTTATGTTTTTATTCTCTTAACAAAGTCTTTTTGAAGAGCAAAAGTCCTGAATTCTGATGAAGTTTAATTTATCATTTAAAAAAATGGATTGTGATTTTGGTTCTGTATCTAAACAATTTACTTAACTCAAGGTCACAAAGATTTTCTCCTACGTTTTCTTATAGTAGTTTTACAGTTTCAGGCTTTACATTTAGGTTTATGATCTATTTTCAGTTAATTTTTAAATATAATGTGAGGCATGGATCAAAGTTCCTTTGTTTCTCTCTCCTCCTTCTTGTTCTACATATGGATATCCCATTGTTCTAGAAGAATTTGTTGAGATGACTATTATTTCTTCACTGAATTGTCTTAGCACCCCTGTCAAAAATCAATTGGTTATATATATGTAGGTCTATTTCTGTACCCTCTATTCTATTCCATTGATCTATTTTTCTGTCTTGATGCCAATACCACATTGTCTTGATTACTGTAGCTTTATAATAAGTCTTAAAGACAGGTAGTGTAAATTCATCAACTTTCTTCATCTTTTTCAAAGTCGTCTTGGTTATTCTAGGTTCTTCGCATTTCCATGTGAATTCTAGAATCATGTTTTGAGTCCTATCCCAAAAGTCTGCTACAATTTTGATTGAATACTCTTAGAATCTATAGATTAATTTGAGGAGAATTGATATATTAAAAATATTGACTCTTTCAATCCATGAACTTGGCATTTTGCTCCATTTATTTGTCTTTAATTTCTCTCAGCAATGTTTTGTAGTTTTCCATGCACAGGTTTGCAGGTCTTTTGTCAGATTTATCCTTAAGTATTGCATATGTTTTATGCTATTCTAAATAACATTTATAATTTTAAGTTATGATTGTTGTTAGTATATAGAAATACTTTTGTTTTTTGTATGTTGAGCTGTATCCTTCAAACTTGCTAAACTCACTTATTAGTTATACTAGTTTTTTTGTAGATTCCATAGGATTTTCTACGTAGACAATCCTGTTGTCTGTGAATAAAGACAGCTTTACTTCTTCCTTTCTAATCTACATGCCTTTTATTTCTTTTTCCTACCCAACTGCACAAGCTAGAACCTCCAGTACAATGCTGAATAAAAGTGGTGAGAATGGACATTCCTACCTTGTTCTTGATTTCAGTGGGTAAGCACTCAGTCTTTCTCAATTAAGCATGAGGTTAGCTGTAGATTTTTTGTAGCTGGTCTTTATCAGATTGGGGATGTTCCCTTCTATTCCTAGTTTGCTCAGAATTTTTATCAGAAATGGGAGTGGAATTTTGTCAAATACTTCCTCTGATTATGATGTGCTTTGGTGTGGTTTTCTTCATGCTTCTTGTGCTGTACGTTTGTAGAGTTTCTTGGATGTCTGGGTTTATAATTTTCATCAGATTTGGAATTTCTTGGATATAATTTCTTCAAGTATTTTTTCTTCCCTCCTTCTCCTTTGGAGATTTCAATTACTTATCTGTTTGCCTACTTAATGTGCCATGGTTAACTGATGCTCTGTCTGACTCTTTCTAATTTTTAAAAAATTTGTTAGGTAGAGCCTGAGCAGGGTTTATTCTGGGTAAATTTTTCCCTATTACTGACCCAAGATCTTTCTTAGTACTCTAAACAATATCTGGTGAATCATGAGGTTTTCCACTCTGACTATTGAGAGCAAACACTATTCCTGACCCTGTGTGATCTCTGGGCACTGTTCTCTAATCCTTTTCAGTGGTTCTTTTCTAGGCCTTGCATAGTTTCCTCATACGCATTCACTGATCGGAACTCAGTTGAATACTGGAGGAGCACCCTCTGCAGATCCCGGGAGCAGATCTCTCCCCTCTGGTACTCTGCATTGTGAACTCTAGCCACCTCGGCTTTTCTGAAGTCCAAGCTCTGTCTTTTCAACCCAGGAAATCTACTGGCCCCACCTTAATGCCCCTTTCCTGCACTGTGGCCTGGAAACCCCCTCAATGCAGTAAGTTGGGGCAATCATAGAGCTCATCTCATTTGTTTCCTATTTCTCAAGGATCACTGTCCTTTGTTGTCTGATGCCCAATTTCTTAAGAGCCATATACTATTTGTTCTGGTTTTGTAGTTGCTTCAAGTGAGAGGATAAACCTGGTTTCTGTTACTCCATCTTGACCTGATTTTGGAAGCTGAAATCAAATGCATGTATTTTAAAAACAGTTTATTGAGACAAAATTCACATACTATACAATTTTCCCATTTAAAGAGTATGGTTCAGGGCTTCCCTGGTGGCGCAGTGGTTAAGACTCTGAGCTCCCAATGCAGGGGGCCCAGGTTCAATCCCTGGTCAGGGAACTAGATCCCACATGCATGAGCAACTATGAGTTCGTATGCCACAACTAAGGAGCCCATGAGCCGCAACTAAGGAGCAGCACAACCAAATAAATAAATAAATATTTTTTAAAAATCACTACTCTACTCCCTGTCTCTATAGATTTTCCTATTCTGGACATTTCATATAAGTGGAATCATACAGTATATGGTTCTTTGTGACTGGCGTCTTTTACTTAGCATAGTGTTTTCAAGCTTTGTCATTATTGTAGCATTTATCAGTACTACCTTCTTTTTATGGCCAAATAATATTCCATTATATGTATAGACACAATTTATTCAGCCATTTAATGGTTGATGGGCATTTGGGTTGTTTCCACTTTGGCTATTATGAATAATGATGCTATGAACATTTGCATATAAGTTTTTGGATATATGTTTTCATTTCTCTTAGGTATATACCTAAGAGCTGAAATGCTGGGTATGGTAACTCCACGTATAGCATTTTGAGGAACTGACATTGTTTTCTATTGCAGCTGCATCATCTTACATTTCTTTCAGGAGTGTATGAGGGTTTCAAATTTTTTCGCATCTTTGCCAACTCCTGCTATCATTTATCTTTTTTGTTATAGCCATCCTAGTAGATGGGAAGTGGTATCTTGCTGTGATTTTTTTTTTTTAGTATATAATTTGCAAATATTTTCTCCCATTCTGTGGGTTGTCTTTTCACTTTGTTGATGGTGTCCTCTGAATCAAAAAATTTTAGTTTTTATACAGTCTAGTTTATCTGCATGTATTTTTCATTTTTTCCTTGGCCATGCCACGTGGCTTGCGGGATCTCAGTTCCCCAACTGGGGACTGAACCTGGGGCCATGGCGGTGAAAGCACCAAATCCTAACCACTAGACCACCAGGGAACTCCCTACCTGCATATATTTTTTTAAAGGAAACTTTAGAAGAATACCTCAAATGGAAAACCAGTATCAGTGATTTGTCATAAACAGAAGATGACTGTAAAAATAAATCCTTTTATAAATCTATTTAATAAAGAGAAGGCAAATGTAAAAACAAATCTGTTTATAAATAAAACTAAAAATTTGTTTATAGGCTGGCTCAAAGCATTTTGCTGTGGTATGGGGGTCTTACTTTGAGAAACACCATTATGCCCTGCACCTGCCTGGCTTAGTCATTGATTATCTTTGGGCACCAGTTTCTTCATCAACAAAAAAAGAGTACCTTTTTTAAGCCATAGAAACATTTTTTTCCAGCTAATTTTTTTTTTTTTTTGCAAACCTGTTTATAAAACAGATAAAATAGAGCTGTCTGGTTGAAATGGAGATTGGGAGGCAGGGTGTCTGATGCTTCCCCTCTCCAATCTCCCTCACCTGCCCTATGGTACCTCCAAGGTTTCCAGAGCTCTAAGGAACCCAGTTTAAAAACCAGGGGATCCCAAACTGTTGTTCAGGAACATGGCCGGCTACATCAGAATCGCCTGGTAGCTAACTAAAAATATTAACTAAAGGGAAAAGTATTTCAATAAGAATAGATACATGTATATGTTTAACTGAATCATTTTGCTGTATACCTGAAACTATCATAGCATTGTTAATCAACTATACTCCAATATAAAATAAAAAGTTAAAAAAAATTGATTCCTGGACCTCAATTCAGACTGCTGAATCAGACTCCAGGGGTGGTCCCCTGCAGCTGTATGTCTCACGCATGCTCCAGGTAATCTGATAGGAGGCATTGATATGGGCCCTCCCTGCTTGAATGGGCTGGGATATCTGAATTTAGGGAACTGTTGATTCCTGTCCTCAGGTATCATAGTCACCTGTTTTAACTGGAGCAGAGAATCAGGTGGGAACTGGCAAAATGCCACAAAGATGGCACAAAGATGCCTCTGAAACCACCCAGCAACACCTGCTCCGGGGCTCCCAGGAGGCAGGCAAGTAACATGTGCTCCCCATGGCCCAGGAGCCCTCTGGTGCGACAAGGACAAAGGACCTCCCCACCCAGCCCTGGCTGTGACCCCGCAGCTGACTCAGAGGCCCTCTGCCAATGTGCCTGCCCACCCCCATACTCCCCTGGGGCCTCACTTACCTCTTAAACCAGAGGTTCAGGCCGGGATGCCCCAGAGGCTTGACACACCTCAGCAGCTTTGGCCCCAGCAGCCTCTTCAGCAGGTTGTGGGCCAGGAAGATGAGGTCCACACAGGTGAGGACAAACAATGCCAGGGCCCTCTGGAAATCCAGGAGGCAGGCCATCAGCAG